GATATACTATTTTATCAAACAAAAATATGCATCTCTCATTTTTGCAAACTAAAGAATTTTAAAATCAACAATATTTGCGAAGTAAAATTCATCCCACCACATATAATTTGCAAATCTTTTTCCAAAGATACACATAGTAACCAAAATAAAAAATCAAATATGATAACTCTTAGAAACTATTTTCCTCCTTAGATAATTTTATAAGAAGGTTACATGGTAATCTTTAAACGGAATACCATAAACAATTTCTATTACATTCTCACTTCGGCCTTGATAAACAAACCAAAGAATTCTGGAGAAGTAATGCATTTATCTTCTACTTCCATGATAAGATTCTCTCGATCAGCAGAATACAAAAAATACAAACACTATATTAATTTCTTAAGATTGTTGTTTATCTTGTATTCCAAACATACTTAGAACAAAATTTTGAACATTTTTGCAAGACAATAAAGATTAAGAACATTTTCACAACTAGAAAATTAAAACTAGTAACGAAAATAGAATCAGAAACAGATTTAAAAAAAATATACGAAATATTTTTCTTAAAGAAGAATTGTAGTTAATATATGTCTAATGAATCTTGCTGATTCTAATAAACTTTGCAGAAATACGAAGTTACCAAGTTTATTGAACCAGTGAAGAACAAAAGAATAGAAAAACTGAAATAAATTAACAAATCTAAAATTTGTAAAACGCGTACAAGAATCTGGAAAAATTTTCATTGGAAAAAGATCAAGTCCACTGAACTCACAGTGTCCCATTAAAGAAATTATTCCCCTCTAGTATCCGAGGTTCGATTTGGAATATGACCTCCCAGGGTAAAATGATCTCAATCACCAGAGTATAGATACCAAAAACTCCGGTGTCAGTGAACCACTCAATGGCAGTAAAGTACACTTAGAATACTAAATATAGTAGTTGAAGAAGAAGTCCGTGAATTCTATATTAAAATGAGATGAAACCCCTCAATTCATAGAAAATAAAGGGTAGTGCAAAAAGGTTTTTATTATGTCTTACCGGAAAGGTCAAAACCTATGGAAAAGTCACAATCTTTCAGAATGGTCATCACCTTTCGTAAAAGTCACAACTTTCCATAAAAGGGACAACTTTTCATAAAAGTCGCAATTTTTCATAAAAGCCTCAACTTTTCATAAAAGTAGCAACATTTCATTAAAGTCACAACTCTTCATAAAAGTCGCAACTCTTTATTTTCCATTTACACCTTTTTAAAACCCAACAATATTGTCACTAGTATGATCAAAGTCTTTACTTTTGATGTACATGCATTTTTTGATCCAGGTGCGAGTCCATCTTTTCTGACTCCGTATATTTCTATGTGTTTTTATATTCTTTCCAAGTAACTTCTTGAGCCCTTCAATGTTTCCACGCATATTATTGAGTCTATCCTAGAGGATAAAGTATATCGTGATTGTACCATCCTTGTCAATCATAATGAAACCATGGTTGACTTAGTTGAGTTAGATATGGTGGACTTTGATGTTATTCTAGGTATGGATTGACTTCATTCTTGTTATGCCTCAGTTGATTGTAGAAATCGAATAGTTATTTCCAGTTTCCTGATGAGTCAGTTATTGAGTGGAGGAGTAGTTTAGTAGTGCCTAAGGGTAGTTTTATTTTGTACCTTAAGGATAGAAGGTTAGTTTCCAAAAGGTTTAGGGACCATAAACACGGTCCATAAAATGAAAATTTCATTTTTAAAAATTATATATCTGAGGCTGTTAAACCTTTTTTGTGATGAGTAAGTACCTGGTCCTAAAATACTCTATTGCGACAAGATACTAGCTTGTCCTGGAATAACCTTTAGAGACAAGAAACTACTTCGCCAATGATTAATGATTAAAAAGAGCAATTAACCTTAGAAATGAAACAATATTCTTGTCTTTAATGTACCGCCAATGGTACTTCAACTTCATATCATAAAATGAATAAATTTCATCAGCGAGTATATAATTTAAACTAACAAAAACTTCCATACAAAAGGATGATACATATAGTTTCAATACTTACTCAGTGAAATACTTAATCAACTAACATCCCAAGCTAGAGTATGTTAACTTTTACATAATGATCTTCGCAAAATAATAATGAACTTGTGCATCTTCTAAACTTTAATCTTCACTTGTAAATTCAATCTACAAAAATCTTCAAGAAACAAGATTTTAGAATGATGATAAGTAACTATTAGTATATAATAATTTATGTAAAGTTGCACTAGAAATAGTTAAAGCGCTTACCCCAAAAGTGTACTATCCATCAATTCTCCAGAAACAACAAGAAGCTACAATAACATAAGAAAATTATTAGAAAAGCTTTTTGATGCATCAACCATAACATTTGATGAATTCGTCATATTGAACTCCAAGAGTGCGATCCCTTAGAACCGCGATACGAAAAAATAACCGAAAATACACTTGAAATTACAAATTCGGAATTCCAACTTTCTAGAAACATGTACACATATGTCACTTGGACTTTTTTTTACTAAAGACTTATTTCTCTTCTATAAAGTTCAGGTCTGTGCAACTTCTATTAGAATGCTTTTGGGAGTTTTCATAAGCTTCATTATAATTGCTAACTTGCAAAATAGCTCAACATATTTTGGTGAGGCTAATAATGGGATCGAGACTATTAAAATAGAAATGTTATAAGTAAGAAATTTGATTTTGCTATCACAATAGCATTTAAACCAGATGCTGGTACATTCCAAGTGGTTACAAACGCATCAATTGATAATTGAAGCATAAACTATTTGCTACAGATGATGGTGATGTTGCTGAAAATTCTTCATTTCCAATTTTTATGAGGCAATGATGATTAATTCAGCGGGAAGGCAAAAACGAATATACAATCAACAAGAACTAACTAAATAAAAGCGCCAAGGAAAATCTAAATTTTGAAAAGTTTAATAGTGGTTTGTGAGTCCTCTGGTAACTTAAGGAAGAGTTGATGACTACAATGTAATTCAAAAAAATTTCGAGAAAGAGAGGTAACTGGGAAAAGTTCACTTCAACTTGAAATTGAATTTAAATGAAAAATGCAGGTAGTAGGGCACTCAAAAAATATTTAGAGGAATTGGATTGAAAGAACTGAGAATATTCAAATACACAGTATTGAGAAATTATAAAGATTTAACATAACGAGCAATCTTTATGGAAGGTTGTGATCACATAAGAGTCTAGTTGAGTTTATATAGTAGCTTAAGATGTTCTAAAAAGTTAAGTAAAGATTGATATCAGTTTTGGTGGTACTTTTATACTTTTGTACTTAAGTTGTACCCAAGCTTACGAAAGCCTCGATAAATAACTTCATGTGTTACATGTTTTCTATGTTCAAAGCTATACAAATGGGATGGCGGCATAATTGAATTTTATCAATTTTGGGATCACAAATAATTGGAAAAAAAGCCTTGATCATTTTATTCAACATGTATAGAGTATTGAGCAAGCGAAATTATTGTAGTGAGTAGATATGTAGGACTCTTGATGGACGAATACATTGGTATCTGATGATCAGAGGAGCCTACAAGGTTGAGATGTGAAAAAATTTCTACTGAAATACTCTACAAGTATAAACGACATATGCTAGCTAAAACTCATCAAGGGGGGTCCGTATTCATTTCCTTTTAGTTATTCTAATGCAATAAAATAAAAAACAGAGGAAGTCTTGTTACGCGCAGTTGTGCGTAGAAGTATGTTAAAATAGAGCAATAAGAAGATGTGCAGGAACGACAAGAAGTCTAGTTTACTTATGACTGTTCGCTTAAGCATATGGTGTTTTTTTCTAATGCACAAGTGCAACAAACAAAAACAACAATATGACCAGCATTTATTCAGAGAAATGTGTGAAAATAGAGAAAGAAGAAATTGTGCAAATGCACAAAGAAGTTTAGTCGACTAATGGTTCCTCTGTTAAGCAACTAATTCTTCTAAAATTACATGTGCAGGAAATAACAACACCTTGTTCGATATTTGTATAGAAAAAAGTATTAAAAATAGATCAACAAGACGATGTAAAACAGTAACTATACCAGGTTGAAGTCGAGCAGATTCGAAAATGACTATGAACAAATCAACAAATCAATTAAACTTGTCAAACAATATTCATAAACATTCTCTTCAGAAAAATAAAAAAAATTAATGGAGCAAAACTAAACATCATGAATTGAAAGAACAGTTACCTAAGAAGGTGTTTGTAATGTGAACCAGAAAAGAAAGACAAGCAAGTAAATTTGAGACATAGCCATTGATTTGTGCAATGCATTTTCTACTGTATATGACTTGTTACGCCAGCTTATGTAACTACTTGCCACAGAGACAGGAAAATATTTTTTATAGTACCTGATGAAATATATTTTGTCGAATACACTTGCTAGCTACAAATATGATGAGGCATTGTCAACTTATCTCGATATGTTCATTTTCTTTTGCTGCTTCTTGAACAATAAGATTAAAATGACGATAAAATGCAAATTCTCAAACAAATTAGGAGCCAATAAATTGAAAAAATCCAAAATTTATGTACTCATAGACCTAATTAAATTCTCCATCGTCACGATATAATGTGTTAATAATCATCAAAATGGGAAGACTATGTACATTGTTACCAGCGATAATTACCCATATCTGATCTATTTGTTGCTTCTTAATATGACTTACACGATTATACTTCAAATGAACACATATTATAGTCATGAATTATTTAGTCCAAGTTTCTCAAAAACAAATTGCTATATATTTTTTAAAAAAATTACATAAATCTAAAAAAAATTGCTAGGCATTTTAATCATCTGATTATTTTAAAATGTTACTTTTAGGAGTTGATGACTGAATATCTGAGCTTTCTGAAATACATTGTAGAAGAACTTCCTCTTACCAAATCCATATCATGTTATAGCAGAACTGGATCTTGAAAGTTACATTCAAGAATTTTATGAAGAATTGTGCTGGACTACTCCTTGAAATTGCAATGAACAAAGAGGACTATAACAAGTTTAATGATACTTCCTCTAAAAACCTCAAGATAATGTTAGTATCAAAAACCTGTTAGTATCAAAAACCTTTCCAGTACCAAAAAGTGAAGCAGATGATTAAGAACCAGATTGCTGCTCATAAGAAGAGTTTATTTAAAATTGCAATGAAAGGAATGTTAATGATGCAGATGACATGAAAAGATCTATGTTCTTATAACTAGTTGTTGATCTCTTCACTTAGGCATTAGGTAACTCTATGCAGTATTGTCAAAGGTGCGCTTTCGAATCCACAATTCAATAAGCAAATTTCAAACTATAGACTTGCATATACATCAAAAACAAGATTAACAACTACGAACCCCAACTCAATAATATTTTTCTAGTTACACAAATATAGAAAACCACCAGTTGGTGAAGAAGTATAAGAAAAGTAAGTCCAACAAAACAAACACTAAAGGGAATAAAGAAAAACACAAAAATCAACGCCGAAGAGAAGACAAACCTAAGAATCGATCAGATGAAAATCAACTCACAGACGAAGATAGAACATGCTGACCTAAAACTCGTGCTTTTCCTATTTTGGGAAAGATTGGATGAAAACTAAGAGTATTCACGCACTTTTTCAAGAGAATTGCGATTTGTACAACTGCTATAGAGATTTAGGGCTTTTTTGTGCTGAAAAAATATAAAATGACGTAATGGAGTTGTTTTAAAAAAATATAGTCTTTTTTGAAAGAATTTTAATTAATGAAGTATACTTTTAGCGCCCCATGGGTTTCTACTAAAAATTAAAAATTCACTTTTTCCCGCTTCTCACCACTGAATTTAGAATTTTGACCAGATCATAATTCTTTGGGGACTAGATTTTGTACCTTCACAATAACATATAGAATTAGGGACCGGAATATATTCTCTTCCCAATACATCTATTTTTTAGACGAGATTATTAACTTATCTCTAAATGATGATCTTAAATAACAGTTTCTTGTAGTGTCCATTAATTAGTATGAGTTAATGATTCTAGTGTTGAGACACCACATATTTAGTGAGTTCTCGATATGAGTGAGTTTCCACAGGTCTTTCTAGACAACCTTCTGTGAGTCCTTTCTGAGAGAGAAATAGACTTTTGCATAGATATTCATCCCGATACTTTACCTATTTCTATTCTTCCATATGGAAATGCTCCAACTTAGTTGAAAGAGTTAACAGATTAATTGAAAGACCTTCTTGATAAAGGTTTTAATTTGACCCAGTGTCACGCCTTGCGGCGCTCTAGTCTTATTCGTGGCGAAGAAGGATAGTTCTCTTAGGATGTGCATTGATTATCATCAATTGAACAAGTTTACTATAAACTATAAGTATCCCCTTCTGAGAATTGATGAAATATTTGATCAACTTCAGGGTGTCACTTTTATATTCTAAGATAGACCTTAGATCTAGCTACTATAGACAATTATATGATAAATGTTTCAAGAAGTGAGTTTTGGCTTGAGTCAGTGGCGTTGTTAGGCAACATAGATTTGGTGAAGGGATTCGAGTTGATTATAGGCTCAAACTTACTTTTCAAATAAGAAGTAAAGCGTTCGTATCAACTAAAGAATCCAAAAAATGAGGTTGGGATCGCTCCCACTAGGAAAATATTTCAAACCTTTTATTACTATTATTTAGTCAACTATTTCCTTAGAAAATAAAAGACAATAAAAGGGGGGTTTTTTATTTATAAATCAATGAAAATAACTAACTAAATTAAAGTAACCAAGTAACCGAATCAAATCTTGGAGTTTAATCAATTAATAAATGTAACTAGGGTTTAAGTGTTCCCCTCGGGTTCCTAACTTGATAATTTTAACTATAACAATTCTTTCCTAGTATCTTGCATGCAAAGTGATAAGTTATGTATTTCTAAATCCTTCGTCCGGCATCTAGAACATTTCACTCCGCACCTTGGTCCGTCTACATGTGTTGCTATACTAACTCTTACCTTTACCTCATATTAAGTATTGTATTCGATATATTACTAAGTTATTACCTCGTACAAATCGATACTAGTCTATTAGATAGTATACACTAAATCTATGTTGATAATTCTTTTCCTATTATCCACCTCCTTGATTCGGTAAGTAGCATTAAGGCGAGTTCTAACGTTGTCCATCTGTTAAAAAGACTTCTAAACGAAAGAATTATCAATACATGCAAGACACTATTCTGGAATTGTTATTTTAGTTAGATTTTACTTCATTATTCACCCATGGTTCTCACAACCCTCGTTATGGAGTTTAGTTATCCATAGTCATAATCACAATATTCATATATTTAATATAAGAATTCATGCACTTACTTTGATGAGAATGAATAAAATCCAAAAATTCACTTGATTAATCAACAAAATCACCAACAATCAATTCCTGAAAAACTGTAACAATCAAAAAGTCTATTATCCAAGAGTCTAAGATCAAAGAGTTTAACCAACAAAAAGTCTAACCAACAAAGAGTCTAACAACCAAAAGTCTAACCCCAAAAACGGGGTTTTTCAAACTATTTATAAAAAACAAAAACCTAATAAAAGAAGGACTCTAATTACTGAAAATCTGGAAAAATGCGGCTGGGTCGACGTACCTAATGACGGACCGTCGTGGTTATGATGGGCCTTCATGGCCTCCGTAGTCCCATACTTAACAAATTCTTCTATTGCTCTCTTCATTACCCTCGACGGCAGGTACGACGGACAGTTCCAAGCACGACGGTCCATCGAGGGTCTCCGTTACATAACACTTAAACTTCTTGGAAATTGGGTACTGGGACTACTCTCTGATCATTGCGACGAACCAGCAGACGGACTGTCGTGGCTATGACGGTCCGTCATGAACCTCCGTAATCCGACACTTGGTCAAACTTCCCCATCTTCCTTCAGTAGCTTCACTACTTTGCCACCTACGGACCGTCATAAGCTCCGTAGGGTGTAACTTTTCTGCATTTCTTGCTCAAAAACTTCCGCGTTCATCTTTGGACAGATTTCCATCAAATAAAGAGAAACTTACATAAAAATCAATACAAAAAGGCTTTTGGACACACACTAAACTTAAGGAAAAAGCATTAAAAATACAGTGAAACCACGGTATATCAACACCCTCAACTTAAATTCATTGTTTGTCCTCAAGCGACGCACTATGACTCACTCCGCTGCCGAATTTCATCCAATTCCAGGAGAATGCTCATTCAATGAGCATTCTCAATATTATGCCTTGAAGAGTACTCGAACCTCCACGCCAAGATCTCTTCGTTAGTAGGGGGAAGAATCCGCCCGAATCGGATTTTTGAGGAACATATCGAGAGAGTTTTGGATTTGGTTAGACAATGTGTGGTTGGTAAACAAGGATCGGTTTTTTAGCAAGGTACAGAATGTATCATCAAATATTCAATATGAATCTTGATTTTTCATATATAAATGTAACTAATGTATCTCCTTAGTAAAGGGTTTCCCCATAATGGCCATGAACAGTTGCTCCAGGGGTGGCCAAATAAGGGTTAGCTGATCGTATCACTTTCGAGTAAACTTGAACAAGTATAACTTGACCCGATTTGAGGGGCCGTCCATTTTTGGCTATACATACATTTTCACAAATAAACTGTCCAAGACTAATTATTTTAGATGTCTCTGCACAATAATAGTGATGGAGAAAAGTCCAATTCAAATATCTGGAATTAACTTGAAACCACGTGAATCTAAAGCACCTTTTACTAAGATCAATGTAGTTGTATGTAAACCAAGGGCAATAGCATGATGAACCAAAAAGTCTCCAAGACCTATTGTTAAGAATAATGAACTACTATTTTCATTAACAGCATTTAACCAACCCGGCAACCAGATGCTTCGACCCGCATTGAATGCTGGGCCAGTCGTTGAAGATAAAATTACATCAAACCCATATGAAGTTTTACCATGAGCGGATTGTATCCATTGAGAAAATATAGGTTCAATCAAGATTTGCTTCTCCGGAGTGCCAAAGGCAAGCATGACATCATTATGAACATAAAGTCCCAGGGTATGGAATCCCAGAAAGAGGATATGATAGCTTCTTTATGATCGAACATTCTTGCCAATACATTATCTTCATTTTTCTCCAGATTGTAATCTCTTATGAAAAACATAGCTCCATGAGCAAAAGCTCATTGTACAATAGTATCCATATTTTAGCTTTTGCAATCATTTGGATATCAATTCCGATCAGTCTCATCATATTTATGCATGTTATCATTATTAGTCTTGAATCATGTGGAATCAGACCATGACACAGACTCACCACGCACTAACACCTCTCCTCTTAAATTTCTCAACGAGGTGCTAATATTTCCGGTATTACAACTAGTGTCCTCACTTCAAAACAACATCTTCATTTTTCACAAAATTATTTCAGTTTGAGTAGAAGTGTTACTTTTCAACACTCACTCTCAGAACAAATTCACAACTCATTCATACATATTGCCATAAGCTTGCCCGTATTTTCACTGCTTTATGTTCGCCATACAACTCTTAGGATCACGATATGACTTTTTTAGCTTCTAACATAGGCTCAGGGTCAAGTAGGGTATTTTTAGGTATACTTTAGTGACTTTTTCCCCTCCTTGACATATCAGCTAAACCTACCACTTTTTGTTGTTTTATTTCACTCTATTTTTCTTATTCTTTCACCTTGCTATTTTCCCTTCTTTCTTCATTTGTGTAACTGACTATTTTCTTTTATTGCTTATATTTATTATTATTTTTTATTTCGCTTTTCTTTCAACTGGTTCTTGAGTCACTTTACTTTTTTCTTTCTTTCTCTTTGTTCATTCAACCCCACTCTCCAGAACATTCCTCATAATAGACACCTTCAACTCATGGCTTTTCCATGAGTCAAAGTACACAATACCTAAAGTTGGGTCAGAGCCATGAAAAGTTTGTTTACTTAATTAGCCACCCTCTACTTATGCTTTTGGCATAAGCTGAGGTTTACATGTCCATGGAGGGACCAGGGCCAACACATTATTCCCAGAAAATATCAGTTGGGGTGAAAAAGAAAGGTCTAGTTTAATCTCAAATCATTTGGATCAAAGAGCGATTAATTGCATTCGGGTTTTTTTTGGCTAAAAATTGGCTACATTGAATAAGGGCCTATGATCCTTTCCTAATTGTTTAATACAACTTACTTTTACCAGGACTAACCAGGAAAGTTCTAGCTTAGTACAAATAGTGGACTATTAAAATTTTCCTCACACTCCTTGACATCTTATTACTCTACCAGTTCGAATTTTAGATTTAAAATCATGCAGTGGTGTATCTCTATGTCATGCTTAGAGCCACACATTTATAAATTACTATGCCTAGTCATGCATCATTTTCATTACATCAGGATATCATTTTTGTTTTAGCCATCTTGCTTCAGAGTTATACTATGTACACAAGATATAGACATGTCGGTTCAACAATAAAAATAATCAGTCACTTGTGGAAAAAGAACAGAAGCAAGAAAACCCCAAAAGATGATCGTGAATTGGGATACTCAGACTTCACCCTATCACTCACTTTCCATTTACCCCACCCCCAATAAGAAGATATGCAATTGTCCCCAATGCATAAAAAACAAAAATACGACAGT